CTCATTGAACACGTGTTCAATGAGCTCTGGCTCGTTAGACTCGTTTTTTAACGACCTGAAAAAATTACGACTCAGATCGCTCGTTTTCTGGCGAGCCACGAGCCAGCTCGCGAGCCGGGCTCGTTTTGACACCCCTATTAATTGAATATGTGCATAAATGAAAATAATATTTAAATAATCATTATTGCAATGTTAGGCAATGGCTTTGACTAAATACAAAGAAAATTCGCTCACCGCAGCCCATTACTAGTCTTTATCTTAGATACATAATTTCCTTCACCTTTGAAACAGTCACACGTACGATAATTTAATTTTATATCCGTATTATCATATTACTATACGCATTGATATTTTTCTGTATTATTATCTATATCCAACGGCACTGAATAATTCACACAAAATCATTTTATTATTATACCTAAGTTTTTTTTTGTATGAATTTATTATTATACCTAAGTTATACATTACTATATATTAATATGTTGTTAACAATATCCAACGAAGCCGACTGATTCATTTAAAATTTTAGTACTATTCCCTAATTTATTGTGGTCTGGTCATGGGAATATCGGACATCACCACCGGGGCATTGAATTTCTTACAAATAATTTGACTGATTCATACAAATAAATTTTATTAGTAGATATTTTTAAAGACCAATACTTTTCTGTTTTCTTATTCATGCCCAACGGTGACCGACTTATTCATACAAATAATTTAATTAATACTATACCCTTATTTATGTTGTAGTAAGAAGAAAATAAATAATGCTACATTACATAACAAAAAAATAATAATAATAAATATGTGTATATGTAACAAATAGAAAAAAAAAATATATATAGTGAGGACACTTACGGATATTCGGCTGGATCCCGTCCCGACGAAACCGGAAGCATTCAAGTTTCAAAGATATAGTTGCCGTAGACTTTTCCATTATACGTACCAAAAAGACGTGTATTATATGGCAACAATTATATTATGGCATCTGTCTTCTTCGCTGTTATTGTTTATCATCTCTTAGAATATACGTGACACTATTTTTATTGGTGTAATATATATACATATATATAGGAAAAAATACCTGAAAATTTCTAAACTTGTAATTTGTTATAATATTAATTCATGAACTTGTAGGTACGCCTATTTATTCCCGAACTTGCATTTTTTAACACAGTAATTTCTAAACTTGTTTAACAGTTTCATATTCGTCCATATCACTAATTGACCAAAACAAAGTTTAGGAATTAGTGTGTTAAAAAAAACACAAGTTTAAGAATTACTGTGTTAAAAAATGCAAGTTCGAGAATAAATATGTGCACCTACAAGTTCATGAATTAATATTGCACCAAATTATAAGTTCAGGAATTTTCAAATATTTTTCTCATATATATATATATGAATAGGGCTCGAGATATTTGCGTGCATACGCAAACGTATATGCCATCTATATCTAATATGATATACTTTGGTTAATAATTATTCAAATCAATTTATATAAAATAACAAAAGTTAATATTAAAGTGCCTAATATACATTTCGATCTCAAAATATCAAAACAGTGTATAATATATAGAAATACAATATCTGAGATAACTGAATGCAAACAAACAAACAAATATCATAACTCCATAACTTCAAAGTATCGTTATCTTAAAAACGACGAATAGTCGTATATGTTATCTAGAGACTTTGAAGGGGTAAAAAATAAATCGTAAATGAACCCATACGGTAAATGACTAAAATACCCCCGACGTTTCTCCTAATAAATACCCTAACCCCACATATTCCCTTCTCATCAACTTCGGCCCAAAATCTGCAAACAATGGCCATACCAAAGATCTCTTTGGCCATTCTCCTCTGCCTCATGGCAATGTCCAAAACCGCAATCTCGCAGAACTGCGGCTGCGCTCCGAACCTGTGCTGCAGCAGGTTCGGGTACTGTGGCACGGGCGATCCCTACTGCGGGGACGGCTGCCAGCAGGGACCGTGTACGTCGACCGGAGGTGGTGGCGGTTCGCTGTCGAGCATCCTGACTCAGTCGTTCTTTGACTACATCATCAACCAGGCGGACAACAGCTGCGTCGGAAAACGTTTCTACACTCGCAACTCTTTCCTCAGCGCCGCCAACACCTTCCCTGATTTCACAAGGACCGTCAACCGGCGAGAAGTCGCAGCTATGTTCGCTCATTTCACTCACGAGACTGGACGTGAGAACTCGACCTCTATACTCTTTCCATCTGCTTCCTTCCGAG